GGCGACGAACGAGAGCCTCGCGTCGCCGCCGCCGCCGCCGGACGTCACGCCCGCGGACGGCGACGAGGCGACGCGGAAGTCGTTCCCGGCCGACGACAAGCCGCCGCCGGCGCCGGCCGTGTCCGCCTCGGCCCTCGGCGACGGGTCCGCGCCGGCGCCGGCGCTCCGCCCCCGCGACGCGCCCGAGGCCGGCGTCATGCTGCTCCTGCCGAGCACGACGCGGCTGAGCGAGCCGCCGGCGCACAAGCTCGTCGAGGGCGCGGTGGTCTGCCACGACGACCGCCGCTGGTACGTGACGCGCGAGGCCGAGTCCGTCGACGACGTCGCCGCCGCGGCGTCCTGCGGCCGCAAGTTCGACGACGTCGCCGCGGCGGCCGCGGCCGCGGACGACTCCGGCGCGTCGCCGGACCGGCGGCGCCGCGAGCGGCCCGACGCCCACGACGCGGCGCCGCGGGCCGACGTGCTGCGCCAGCGCGCGGACCTCATGGTCGTCGAGGCCGTCGGCGTGCCGCGCCTCGAGCGCGTGCGCCGCGAGCGGCCGCTGCCGGCGAAGACGGCGCTGCCGCTGCCCGAGCTCGGCGCGTGGCCCCACGGGGGCCTGAGCGTCGTGCCGCCGACGCTGCGCGACGCGGGAGATGTGGACGCCGTCCTCGGCGGCTGCGTGCTCGAGGAGGCGGGCCGGCGCTGGGTCGCGGCGCTCGACGGCGAGACGCCCGCGCAGCTCGCGCGGCGTTTGGGTGTGGACGCGAAGGCGCTGGCGAAGCGCAACGACGGCTCGCCCTGGGGCGGCCACTTCAAGCGCGGCGCGCCCCTGCCCGCCGGCGCGCCCGTGCTCGTCGCCGACGACGACGCGCGCGACGCGAAGCGCGACCGCGCGGCCGCGGCCGCCGCGCGGCCGTCGCCGCGCGGCGCGCCGCCGACGCCCGTCGCCGGCCGCGCGGCGTCGCCCCAGCCCCGGGCCGCGGCCTGCGCCGCCTGCCGCCTCCTCGGGGGCTCGGCGAGCCGCTGCCGCCGCGAGCTCCGCCACTGCGCGCCCGCGTACAGCGCGCAGCCCGCCGTCGGCGACCGCGTCCGCGTGCGGTGGCTGCCCGAGGAGGACCCGGCGTCCGCGGCGGCGCGGGGCGGCGCCCGCCGGCGCAAGCAGCCCCGCGCGTCCTGGTACTTCGCGACGGTGACCGCCGTCGACGACGCGGCGCGCGGCTCCGACAAGCGGCGCGTCGCCGTGTCCTACGACGACGGCGGCGGCGACGACGACATCGACTGGCCCGACGGCGACGCCGTGCTCCTGCCGCCGGCGAACGCGCCGGGGTCGCCCCTCGCGCGCGCGGCGGCGGTGAGCGACGCGCAGCGCGCGCTCGTCGGCCAGTCGTTCGCGCTGCCGCCGGACGCGACGTCGTGGAAGGTCGCGGACGTCTTCTACTCCGTCGAGGAGGGCATCGACGGCGTCGTCGTCCAGTACCACGACGGCGGCCGCGACGCGCCGACGGACGCCGACGTCGACGCCTTCGAGTGGGCCGCGCACGACGACTTCGTCGCCAAGGCCGTCCTCGACGGCGGCGCCGCGGGCCGCGCGGCGCGCGGCCGGTCCCCGCGGAAGCGCGACGCCGACGACGCGCCGCCCAAGGCCGCCGAGGAGAGCCCGCGGAAGCGCCGGCGCTAGGGCGCCCCGAGCTACGTAAAACCACCTCGGCGCCGCTTTACAGCTCGTCCCGGAGGATCTTCGCGCGCATGTCGCGCATGAGGTGGTTCATGTAGTAGATGTTGTGGAGGCTCGCGAGCGTGAGGGCGAGGGGCTCGTTCTGCTTGAAGAGGTGGTGGAGGTAGGCGCGCGTGTGGGGCACGGACGGGCAGCCCGGGTCGATGGGCCCGAAGTCCTCACGGTACTGCGTCGCCTTGATCTTCACGTTGCCCTGCGTCGTCAGCAGCGTGCCATGGCGCGCGATGCGCGTCGGGTTGCACGAGTCCATGGTGTCGACGCCCAGCGGCACGACGGCCGCGCACGACTCCGGGTCCGCGATGCCGAGCAGGTGGTTCGGCCGCTCGCGCGGGAGCAAGGGCATGAGCCACGCGAGCATGTCGAGCATCTCACCGCGGTCCTTGCCCAGGGACCCGCCCACGGCCATGCCGTCGAAGGGCAGCGACGACAGGTAGGCCGCGGACCGCTCGCGGAACTCGCGGTCCACGCCCCCGTGGACGACCGCGTACATGGCCTGCTTTCGCGGGTCCGCGAGGTGCGCCTTGAGGGACCGCGCCATCCAGCGGTGGCTCAGCTGGACGGACGCGTTCAGCCGGTCCCGCGTGACGTGGTAGGGCGGCAGCTCGTCCAGCGGGATGATGATGTCGCCGCCGAGCTTCTTCTGCGCCGCCACGGACGACTCGGGCGTGAGCTTGATCTCGACGCCGTCGCGGTAGCTCTTGAAGACGACGCCCTCCTCCGTGACAGAAACTAACGACCCGTGGCTCGTGTCCTGCTGCGCGCCGTCGTCCCCGCGCTTGCGCTTCGCGCGCTTCATCTTCAGCTCCGGCCCGTCCTCGTCCGAGTCGGGCTCCGCGAGCGAGAAGACCTGGAAGCCGCCGGAGTCCGTGATGATGGGCGCGTCGCGGTTCATGAATGTGTGCAGGCCGCCGGCCTTTGCTACCGTGTCGGGCCCGGGGTGGACGAGCAGGTGGTACGTGTTCGAGAACATGAGCCGCACGTCCGCCTCGGCCGCGGACCGGCCGTCGACGGCCTTGAGCGCGCCGTTCGTGCCCACGGGCACGAAGCAGGGCGTCTCGATGACGCCGTGGGGCGTGTGGATGCGCCCGACGCGCGCGCGCGACCCGGGCTTCTTCGACTCGTGCACGACCTCGAAGCGGAAGTAGTCCCGCGCGGCGTGCGGCGGGAACTCGCTCGCGGCCGGCGGGTCGGCCATGGGGTCCGCGGTTTCCGCCTTCTTCGCCTTGCGCGCGTGCCTGTGGTAGGCCTCGCCCGTGAGCTCGCCGTAGCGCGCGCGGAGACCCTCGAGCTCCGCTTCCAGCGCGTCGTCGCCGCCCTCGCCGCCCGCGGCCCGCAGCCGCTTCGTCGCCACGGTGATGGACCCCTTGACCTCCATGACCTCCTTCTCCCAGGCCGCCCGCGCCTCGAGCCGCGCCTCCATGGCCGCGATCTCCGCCGCCGGCGCCGCCGCGCCGACGTGCTTGAGGCGCCGCAGCTCCTTGCGCAGCTCCTTGGCGCTCAGCGGCTCGTCGCTCATGCTCGACGAGAGGCGCTGCGGGGTTCGGACCGCGACGGTGCGCGCGAGGCGCGTGAAGGCGACGGCGCGGCACAGCAACACGGTGAAGAGGAGCGCTCGTCGGGTGAGCATAAGAGCGCTCGCCAAGAACTTGTTCCGGTTCAAGCACGCTGCATGTCGCAGATTTCAAGAGGCAGCCCGCGCCGCGAGACGATGGGCAGGACGCAGCGTCTCGTGCTCAATACAACTGCGTGAATGCGACCGAAGGGAATGACACTCCTGGACGATGCCACGACGCCACCGATGCTGCTCCTCTGGGGCTACTTCGCTTATTTCATCGTCACGATCGCCTACGAGCTCGCGGCCGCCACGGCCCCCCTCGTCGCGAATGCGTGCGTCGTCGCCGTCGTCGTCGGCGTGGCGCTCAACGCGTCGGCCATGGGCGCCGAGGACCTCGCGGCCTATGCGCGCGCGAGCCCGTTCCGGGTTTTGCGCTTCTTTCTCATCCCGTTCTGCGTGTCGCTCTTTTCGAGCGTCGTCGCCGCGTCCAAGGGCGAGTTCGTCTCCGTCTTCCCCAGGGACGCGACGCGCTGCGCCGCGACCCTGGGCGTCGCCGCGGCCTGGCCCGGCGCCTGCCTCGCGCTCGCGCGGTGCCGCCGGCGGGGCGACGCGAGGCACGCGCCGCTCCTCTCGGCGCCGGACGGCGCGTCGCACGTCAATTAAGGGGCGGACCTAGCGCGGCCGCGGCTCCTTCTCCGGGCTGAGGAAGTCCTCGAGGCCGTTGCGCTGGACGAAGGCCGCGAGGTCGTCCTCCGGGTCGTCGCGCGCCACGGGCGGCGCCTTGGACGGCGACCCGAAGTTGCCGATCGCGGGGAGCTTGTCCCGGGGCGCCGCGTTTCGCGCAGCGCGCGCGCGCTCGAGCTCGTAGCCCCGGGGCCCGAAGGTCTCGCCGGCGGAGATGGACGCGCTGGCGTCGTCGCCCCGGGACGTCGTCGCCCAGGACGGCTCGTAGGACGCGAGGTGCTCGAACGTCGCCGCGGGCTGCGTTTTCGACTGGTCCGCTCTGCCCCGGCGCTCGCGCTTCGCGCGGTCGAGCTGGACGCGCAGGGCGGCCCGCTGGACGGCCAGCGGCTTGCCGTGGGCCGGCCCCCGGTGCTTCGTCCACTGGCACCAGGGCGGGACGACGGCGAGGTCCGTCGACTTGACCCGGAACACCTTCACGAGCCGCTTCTGGACCTTGTCGATGTCGCTCCGCAGGCCCCGCTCGTCCTCGGCCAGCAGCGCCAGCGCCGCGCGGCACGCGGCCTTGACGGAGGCCTCGACGCGCGCGCGGAGCGCGTCCCGGTCCCTCTTCACGTCCGCCGCCGGGCGGCGCATCGACGTGCCGTCCAGGGTCAGGTCGTAGTGGTCCGCGACGACTTTCTTGAGCTCGGGCGCCGATCGCGAATGGCACAGGTCGAAGATCTCCGCCTTGCGGTCGTCGGACGTGCCCAGGAGGAGGAACTTCTTGTGGAGCGCGGGGAGCAGCGCCCAGACCTCTTTGCCCGCGCCGCCGACGAAGATCATCTCGCCGATCTCGTAGTAGGCGTTGGCGACCTCCCGGCGCTCGACGTCCGCGTCGCTCGCGTCCGACTGTAGGCCGAGGTCGCGGAGCTCGCTGTAGCGCTGCGCGTCCTTGACGTCCCGCTGCGCGCGCTGCCGCGCGATGACCTCGATCTCGTCCTTGGTCAGGGCGGAGTAGACGACCTCCTCCTTATGCGGCGCCTCGTCGTTCCGCTTCTTCTTCGGCGACGCGCCGTCCCGCTTCCTCCGCCCGCCGTGGAGCGGGTCGAGGCCCTGGTAGACGCGCCGCTCGGCGACGCGGCGCTCGTGCTCGCGCTGGCGCGCGATGCGCACCTTGTCGCGCTTGCGCCACTTGGGGTCGAAGACGACCTCGACGGCGGCGCGCTCGCAGACCGAGCTCAGCTGGCGCGTGCTGAGGTCGCCGAGGGGCAGCGCCTTGACGCTCTCGAGGCCGCCCACGAAGGGCGCCATGGCGTGCTGGCCCGCCGACGGAGGAGCTGCGAGCTCCTAAAGGCTGCCCACGACGGGCGTCGGCCCCATCGCGCTGCCCGGCCGCCGTTGACGGAGGCGGCAATAGCGACCCCACCCTCGCCAACTTTGAACGTTGCCTTATCAAAACAACGTTGACGCGCAGCGCTCGGCGAGCTGGACGACGGTGAAGGCGCCGCCGATGATGGAGAGGAGGTTCGTGACGTAGTCGTACCATCGCGTCGAGCCCTGGTTCGTGACCTTGGCGACCATGGGGGAGATGTCGAAGCCGAAGCGGACGGACCAGTGGTCGACCTCGTCGTCGTCGTGGTGGCTCAGGTGGTCCTGGTGGAGGAGCTGGTAGGCCATGAAGTGCTTGCGCACGCCGGCGAGGGCGTACTTCGTCGGCACGACGTGGATGAAGTGGTGGAAGACCTTGTCGTTCGCGTGGTAGAAGAAGTCGCGGCCGTCCAAGGTACCGTCGGCGACCTTGCGGAACTTCTCCGGGAGCCGCGCGAGGTGCTTGGCCTGGTCCCGCGTCTGCGGCGGCCCGAAGGAGAAGGCGTTGACCGTGTGGCTCAGGTTCGCGTTCGGCGGCGCGGAGATCTTCAGCGACCCGGGCGAGTTGTAGCCGTTGACGTAGCCCTCGACCTTGCACCCGGTGAAGCCCCCCTCGGCGCCCTTCTTCGCGTTGACGATGCGCTCGTAGCGGCGCTTCCGCTTCGAGATCGGATTGAACTGCGACACCTGCAGCGTCTTCTCCATGGACCGCGGCTGGCTCCGGACCGCCGCGCGCCAGAGTTCGACGGTGAGGTCCGAGCACTCGAGGTTCGGGAAATCCAAGTTCACGTTCATGCGCAGCTCCGCCGACACGTCCATCTCGAGGTCGATGACCTCGCGCACGGGGCCCGCGCCGAGGAAGACGTAGGTCTCCGTGATGAACATGAACGCCATGAGGACCACGGCGATGAGCGAGAAGACGCCGCCGCGCGCCGACGCCGTCACGAGGTCCGGCGCCACCTTCGCGTACATGTCGAAGGCATGCTTCATGGGAGCTGCCAACCAGCGTCGCCGCCTTGGATGCGCGAGGTCGTGTCGAGAGGGCGCGAGCTGCCCGGCTCCCGCTGGAAGGCTCGACCGCAGGCCAAAGCTCGCCGACACATGCCGACGCTGCCCCAAGTTTGCCCCACTCGCAACATGGTGGCCTTCCATCGACGCCGCTAGCGCCAGCGAATCGCACCATGGGGGGCCCGCCCTGGCGCGTCGTCGAGGTCACCTGCGCGGCGGAAGAGAAGAAGCTGAAACTGTCGCTCGCCGAACATTGGTCCTGGAAGAAAATCGGCGACCTCAAGGCCGCCGTCGCAAAAAAACTCCACGCGCCGCCGGGCGACCTCGCGCTCCACACCGCCGCCGGCGCCTGCGACGACGGCGCGTTCCTGCGCGACCACGTGGTGGATGGCGGCGCGACGGCCTTCGTCGCGCGCCGCGGCGCGAGCGAGCCGCCGCCGCCGCCGCCGCGGGACCGCGGCGCCGCGCGGCACCGCGAGCGCGGCAACGCGGCCTTCGGCCGCGGCGACCTCGACGAGGCGGCGTCCTGCTACGAGCTCGCCCTCGTCTTCGACCCGCGCGACGCGAAGTCCCTCGCGAACCTCGCGTCCGTCGCGCTCGCGCGGAAGCGCGCCGGCGACGCCGCGGCGTACTGCGCGCGCGCGCTGCGCTGCGGCGCCGCCGGCGACCCCCTGGGCAAGTGGTGGCTGCGCCTCGCGCGGGCCCAGCGCCTCGGCCGGCGCTTCGCCGACGAGAAGGCGTCGCTCGAGGCCGCGGCGGCCGCGGGCGAGGACGCGGCCGCCGCGGTCGAGAAGGCGACGGCGCAGCTCGCGGACGTGCGGGAGCGCGTCCTCGCGGCGGCGGCGGCGTCGCGCGGCGACCGCGGCGAGCGGGGCGCGCGCAACGCGGCGCTCCTCGCCGTCGACCCGACGGGCGCGGTCGTGCTCTACAGGGCAGCAAAAGAGAGCGAAATTCCCAACTTCAAAGGCTCCGATCTCGGCCGTTTTCCACTCGTTTCGGCTGATCTTTGGACGAGTGATCACCTCTCGGAACGGTCTCGAAGCGTGGATGCTCTTTCCGGAACGCGCGCGCGCGAAACACTCACGTTGAAGCGACGTTGAATCTCTCTTTTGCTGCCCAGGTCCTCTACGAGCTCGCGGCCGCGGCGCTCAAGGACTGCGTGGACGCGGGCGCGCGCGGCACGGCCTTCGGGGACGTCGACTCCGCCGAGTTCGACCCGGAGAGCGAGCGCTCCGACGACTCCGACGACGACGCCGGCGGCTTCCGGCTGGCCTGGGGCGCCGTCACGACGCCCGCGGACGACGTCGACGCCGTCGTCGCGGCGCGGCCCCGGCTGTCGCGGCCGCAGCAGATCCGCGCCGCGCGGCGGCGGCGCCTGCGGCGCGTCGCGCGGGCCCTGGGCCGCGCCAAGGCCGCCATCGCGGCGGACGGCGCCGCGCGGTCCGCGACGGCGCGCGTGCCGTCGGCCGACGCCGCGCGCGCGTGGACGCTGGGCAACGTGCCGCTGCCCCTCGGCGGGCCCCAGGACCGCGTCTTCGCGGGCCTGGAGGTGGGCCTGGGCCACTGCGCCAAGGCCCTCGGGCGCGACCCCCGGCCCCACTACGCGAGGGCGGCGCTCCTCGAGCCCGGCGACGCGAAGCACCACGCGTACGTGTCGCAGGCGCTCATCGACGCCGGCGACTACGACGCCGCGCGCGAGGCCCACGACGCCGCCGTGCGCGCCGGCGTCTGGGAGCGGCCCGCGCAGCGGCCGGGGACGCTCGTCTTCGGCCTGCGCGCGGGCGACGGCGACGGCGGGTGGTGGGCGCCCGAGGACGGCTGCCCGGGCCTCGCGGCGGCGCTCATGAACAAGTACGCCGCCATCAAGGCCGAGGCGCTGCGCCTCCTCGACGGCGACCGGGCGCTCAGGGGCGGCAAAGCGCGGCCGCTCCACTCGACCGCGGACCCGCCGCGCGCTGTGTGGAAATCAAATCTTCAACTCGACTTCAATGTGCGCGTATTCGAAGAGGTGGACACAAGCTCTTCGGCTCTGCTTCGAGAACTCGACGAGAGCGATCGATTCGTCCAAAAATCAGCCGAATCGACTTCGATTTGGCCGAGATAGAGAGGTTTGAAGTTTTGCTGGACGCGTCCATTCCACTGGTTGATTTCCACACAGGCCGCGCGCCAAGGTCGGGACCTCGACGCTGAACCGCGTCTTCAAGCCCTACAGGAGCAAGGCGCTGGACCGCGACGCGCTCAAGCGCGGCGCCGAGTGGGCCGACTTCGGCCTCCGCTTCAACGGCGCCACGAACACGCGGAACTGCGCCGTAAATCGCGCCCCGCGTCCGCCCGTTCCCGTTCGCGCCGCGCGCGCCGACGGCGCGCCGCAGGCGTGCCCCGCGACGTCGAAGATCCTCGAGGACTTCTCGCAGGCCCACACGGCGCTCCACGGGTCGGCCTACTTCTCGTTGCTCGCGCCGCGGACCCACATCAAGCGCCACTGCGGTCCGACGAACGCGCGGCTCCGGCTGCACCTCGGCCTCGTCGTGCCCGACGGCTGCTCCATCCGCGTCGGCGACGAGGTGCGGACCTGGGTCGAGGGGCGCTGCCTCCTCTTCGACGACAGCTTCGAGCACGAGGTCTGGAACGACGCGGACGAGGAGCGGCTCGTGCTCATCGTCGACGTGTGGCACCCAGACCTCAAGACCGACGACCAGCGGAAGCGCCACCTCGAGAAGGAGCTCCACGGCGCCTACGACCACCTCAAGACGGCGCGCTTCTGGCGCGACACGACCGAGAGCGGCCATTAACGACGTGGGCGCTCCAGGGGCGCGCGGCCAGTCGGCGGCTTCATCGATGGCTCATGGACTCCTTGAGCTTCGTGATCTTCGTGTCCTTGAGGCGGACGAGCTGCTCGAGCTTGGCGATCTTCTGCTCGAGGATGTCCACGGTCTCCCGGAGGTCGTAGATCTCCTGCTCCTTCTCGATGAGGAGCTCCTGGTCGACCTCGTGCTGGAGCGCGTCCCGGCCGCGGACGTTCGGCGCGCGGCTCGCGGGCCGCGGCGCGGACCGCTCCTCCGCCGGGTCCTCGCCGTCGGCCGGCGCCGCCTCGCGCCGCGGCGCCGGCGGGTTCGCCCGCTTCTGCTGCTGCGCGGCGCGGTAGCGCGCCATCTTCAGCTGCAGCCCGTTGAGGCACCGCTCGATGGCCCCGGGCGCGCACTGGCACACGGCCTCGATCTCGTGCCGCGGCAGCGTCGCGCCGAGCTTCCGCAGGACCTGCGTCGCGGGGGCGGCGTGCTCGCGCGGCGCGAGGTCGCGCGGCGCGCGGTCGCGCGGTCGCGCGTCCGTCGCTTCGGCCGATCGCGCGGTCGCGCGGTCCCGGGACGCGGGAGCCGCGCGCGCGAGTTGAGCGTGTCCCAGTTGTAGAGCTTCTGCTGCATCGAGTTCGCCGGCGGGTAGTTGTGCAGGTCCACGAGCCGCGGGAAGTAGTGGTGGCAGACCTCGGCAACGAGGACGCCGTCCGCGAAGTCGCGCGCGATGTTCCGCTTCGGTCGCGAGAGCGGGATCTCGTCGACCCACGCGTACAGCCGCTGGAGCTCCGCGTCGTCCATGGCGGCCATGGTCGGGTAAGCTTGCGTGCCAAACGCTTCGGCGCCGATGGCTGCAGCCGTCGCGACGCTCCAACGACTCCCGCTCGCGCGGGCGCAGCCAAGGCGGGGTACGCTCCGCATGCGCGCGGCGCCCTTGCGTGCGCGGCGGGGTGATCGACGAAACTGCACGTTCCTGGCGTTCCCCAGCCGTCACACCCACGTCGCGCCCAAAACCAAGGGGCGTATCCAACGCCATCGATGGTGGCGCGCACCGCGGCTACGGACTTGTACGCCGCGGCAGCCCCGCGGAGACGAGGCCCGCGCGGTGGAATTTGGTCGACGCCAGAACCACCTCCGATGGGGGCACCGACGGTCAGGCTTACGTCCAGGGGTCATGGAAGGCCACTCCGACCGCCAGAACGGGCTGCCGTGCGTCGGAAGCTTGGCCTCGGAGGTCTCCGTTCCCGGCCCGCGCGTACGTGTTTGGTACTCAAGCCAGCGAAACGGCTAGCCATTCGTCGCAATTCGAGCGCTTGTTTTTGTCACGTATAGCCACCGGGCGTCCCTGGCCGCTAGCCAAAAACGCGCAGTTTAGACGGGGGGCGCGTCGGCCATCGGACGCCGTCGCCGGAGCAAACCCCGCCTTAGCCACCGCGCGATTTCGGACATCACGACCGGCGGTGCCCACTGCCGCGCCCTTGAGTGGTGAGGCCCCGGCGCGCGTCGCGGTCGCGCGGCACCGATTACAGCGGCCCCGCCCTAGCGGCGGGGCTTCTTGATGCGCGTGGACGTCGTGAGCTGGTTGAAGGCGACGCCGCCGATGAAGAGGCACTTGACGACCCAGAGCGTCACGGGCTGGTCGCGCTTCTGGGCCTCGAAGTAGGCGACGCCCCCGAGCACGGCGTTGACGGCGTAGACGGCGCAGAGCCCCTGCTTGAAGAAGTCGCGGAACTCGACGGGGAGGTTCGTGAGCGGGAAACTGGGATCGTAGACGAACGTCGCGAGGAGGATGACGAGCACGAGGGCGCTGTGGCCGATCTGGAGGTAGGCCGACTCGATGCCGAAGAACTTGTCCGCGTTCTCGCCCAGCGCGATGGTGATGATGTCCACGTCCTTCTTCGTCGCGCCCGCGGCCTTCGACTTGTCGCGGAAGAGGTTGAAGTTGACGTCCGCGTTCGGGTCGCTCTCCATCGAGGACCGCGTGACCTTGCGCCGCGCGAGCTCGTCGATGTCGGGGAGGAAGATGGACCCGTCGCGCTCCGCGGCCGCCTCGACGCTCGCCACCTCGGGGGCCTCGGACGCGACGGGGAAATTTCGGACCGAGGCCGCCGACGCCCGGGACTCGCG